TGGCTTTGTCATCAGCAAGGTCACACAGGATACAGCCACCAAAATCCCCCCGGGCACGAGGCAGAACAGAGGCACGCCAGGGACAGAGCCCAGCCTTCCCACATCCCTCCATCCCGCAGTCACCCACCCTCTAACCGCGGCTCAGATTCACTTTTCGGGCTCCCAAAGCTGTTCTCCTCCTGTCCTGGAGGACTATTCAAAGCCCTTAGGAAATGGAGATGGATGGGCGCTTTATTCCTCCACGTGCAGTCGTGGCTGGGTGCAGGCTCCCCGGCTCCGCTGCAGTAGCACCGGCCGACCCAGCAAGCTGATTTATGGAGAGAGAAGCCGACCTTTACCTTCTTCACGCTCCCCCTGGTGATGGTTGATAAAGTGCTTGAGATGAGGCGAGGAGTAAGACCGCGGAAGAGGCCTCTTTTCCCATCCACTTCCACAATGTGTCTGGCTGGGTAAGAAAACACCAGGCTGCCGTCAGTCGGGAACCGGCCGACTCGCGGAGAGCATCCCAAACACCTCCGGCGTTCGGCCGAAACCGCGCCGGAGCTCAGCACGGCACGGCAGCCCCTCTGCGGTCCCACCGTAAGTGATTTATTGTAACAGTCCTAAATACATTTCATACAGGATGCAAAGAATCCTTAAGCATTCCCTGTCATATCTGTCTAATCTGGAAGGGTAGCTCCAGTATTTTTGGGCTACTTCTCGTCTTTTGATTGTTTTCCTCACCTCAAAGGGCTACAAGGCGGTTTGGACTGAACCAGGGCAGGGAGGGATCACCTCATGTGTTGTGCGGTGTCACCTCCTCCCTCCGCCCCAGGGGGGCCAGACTCAGGTTTAATACGGATCTCGCAAACCCAGGTTCGGTTCCTGCCCCACCACCTTTCTCTCCGGCAAACCTCCTCAGGTCTCCAGCCAAAAAAAAAAAAAAAGCCAATGGATCCAGTTTCTCCCTGATGTAACAAGGTGGAATACAACCCGCTAAGTGCTTGTGGGTACCGACTGCTCCTGCCCCCCCTCCTCCGCTGTCCCAAGGGAAGCCAGGAAGCCTCTGCACGTCTCCATCGCCCAGTGCTGTAAATCTATTTAGAAAATTCATCTTCCAAAAGGCACCACCGGAGCATTTCCAGCCCCGGGCGTTCCAGGACGGGTTTGCAGTGCTTTTTGCGCTGGGTCCCCCTGCCCCGCGGGTACTGCTGTCCGATTTTGGGATCAGCTCAACTTGACTTTCAGGACTGCGCGCTCCCCTTCCCCACAGCAAACCCGCTGTGAAAGCAACCCCCAAGGTCACAGAGCATTCACCCGCCTCTCCTGCGCTGCTCCACCCGCAAAAAGAGAAAAATAGGACTTTTTTTCTTCCTTCTAAACACATTACCTTCCCTTTTCTCGGTATTTCTGTCCCTCTAGGGCTCCATCTACAACACAAATGAGCAGGGCAGGGGGCCAAGTTTTTTTGCAGGGCTGTTTTGCAGCAAAGAAAGGCACTTTGCTATCTCTAACACACGCAAAACCCTCCACCAACAAACCTGCGCCACCTAAACCCCCACCGCCCCCTCTGCTACGGCGCAAACCCAGAGCGACGTGCCACGGGAAGGGAATGCAGCCACCAGCGCCGGGGCCACCACCTCCTTGTCGCCAACAACAGGTAGGTGAATCTGACAGCTTTGCAACTAGTTGTAGTGTTTTATGTCCCACTGCAGCCTCGGGATGATCCCAAGGACACTGCTGGGGATGTGGGAATGCTGCTGGAGGTCAGCTCGGTCTACCTGGCAGCTCCCGGCCCCGTTTTTGGGCAGGACCTTGCGCTGGCAGGGAGGAACGTTCGCTCACCGTAGGTGAAGAAGCCGGGCAGGTACAGGACTTTCCTTCCCAGCACGTTTCTTCCGACAGTTGGAGGTAGTGGCTCGTGCCCGACCTGCAAGAGGAACCCCGTGAGCAGGTCCCTGCCCCTGTCCCGGCGCTCCTGAAGCCCCCC